CCGTCACCCCTGGACCTCCATCTTTTGCCCGTGTTCGTTTTTTCTCCCTTCCCGGGGATTTTAACCTTGTCGCGTCCCAGGATGGATTACCCGCCACTGGACTCCCGGACTGGGCCCTGACCTGCCCTTGGACCTGTTTGGATTCGGATGCCGTTCTCCCCCCGTTCACCGTCTCGCGGACTGTCACTATTATTTTGTGCACTACTACACCCCTGTGTTCTCCCATACCACGCCTCCTGTCTTCTCCAGCTCTTACCGCATCGCATAGGGTCTACTGCAAGAGCCGGCACGGACTTCTGTCCGTGGTCGGAACAAGAACAAGAGGCACTTCTTAACCCAACGCAAAGGACCGTGAGAGCCAGGAACAAGCTGCACAGTCATCCTGTTGAGGCCATTGCCCTGGCTTCTACCAAGAAACGCCTGGATGAGATACTTCACTCAATTAGCTGTTAATAACCAACTTGGAATCTCTGCCAAAATGGGCTGGATGGCCTTGACTTGTTTCTAACCTTCTCTGATGGTCTTACCTTCTTGAAACCACACAGAATTTCAGTAAGTCTATTATCATGGAAGGTGATTTACTCAGCACTATAGTTGTCATAATTCAGCAATACTTGTGTCTTATTTACTTTATTTTCCGTGTCTAATTATGGTCTCGGGCATTTTGTTTTAGGGATTTTGTGTCACTAAGCCCTTTATTCTTCCACAGTTAATGTTTTAAAATCCTCGGTTTGCGTGCCATTCTTGTGTTCAAAATGCTTTACATCAGGCAGTCGTGTATGGCATTGAGGGGATTCACTGTAAACTAATTGTATAATTAATCATTACACTGTGCAATCAAATTATGGGCATTAACTCTGCTTGACTGAGTGTGTATTGCTGAGGTTTTGAACACATGATTTGAAACCCGCTTGACAATACCTGTTCCTCTTCTTACCTTTAACAAACATTGGAAATGTGCAACCTGCTAAGAAATACATTTTGAAAAAGAAACGGTGAGAGAGCTGACAGTTTCATTTCTACCTGCCTGCTACATTTCTACAGTCACTCTTTACGTTAACCATTTCCTTTTAGGCATTTATTGGTGATTAAATACATCTCAAACTCTTGCATGTTTTTGTCAGGTACATATTAGTTACTTTCAGCCTGCTTAAGACTACCTGTCATTACAATGACTGAGAAGTAAAGTGTAAAAACCTGGTAGGACTTTATTGTATAAATCCCTTAGCTGATCAGGTATTTTTGGGCGGTGCTCTTGGAAATGAGGCCTGGGTTAACTCAAAGGCCCAGTCACCTGCTGATCAGAAATTACATACTCCTGATCACAGGAGTACCTGATCACAGCTTTGCCTTCTCCAGCGGCTGATTTCTTCTTCCCAATGGGAGCCTATCACCCAGCAAGCGGGCTATAATTTGCAGATGGTGGGCGGCTCTAAGCATTGATTTCATCTGGGCCAAAGTGTGTCCGCAAATAGTAAAGCTTTATAAAGTGGCCATAAGAGATTTTGTAAGTGCTTGTGAGCTCAGATAAAATACCTAATTCATACCAACCAGCTTATACTTAATGTATACTTAAAGCAGAGTGTTGCTATTTGTACTGACTATCATGGATAGCTTGTGAAGGAAATAATATGTACTGTATGTATGGTACTGTTATCAGAATAAAACAAATTGAACTGTTCAAATATTTGTATTATTATTAAAGTTTAAGATTTCTCAAAATGTTTTCAATTTCAAAGAGATACAATTAGCATTTTTTTTTTCCTTACACATAATAACACCAATTTTCAAATTTAAGACTATGTGACTGGCTTGTTACCACTTTTTACTCATTTCAAAATGAAATGATGAATTATCCTAAAGTTAAATTATTGGGAATAATTATTCCAAAGGGTGTATTTCAAGTGTCTGCCATTACATTTAGAAAATAAGCACACATTTCATTTTTGAGAATTTTTTAGATGAAGGTTTAACTTTTCCGCCAGACCATAAAAGCGCTGGTGGCTTCAGAAGTGCTCTGATGCGTATTGTTGCTGGGTTTAATGCATTGTTTCAGGCCCCATGGCATAGAAGAAAATCATAATGTTGAATTTTCCTCCTCCGAATTAATTACTGATGCAGTCATCTTCTCCAGATGAAAACAGTAATGGGGGTGACAATAATGTTGCAAGCTGTAATATCACAATCACCTTAAGAGTTCTGTATTTCATTCAGCCAGCAACACACAACCTCAAGAATTGTATTCTCTGCAAAGATTTAAAATAAATAATCTCAAAATGGCACATTTAGAAGAAGCTTTCAGAGATATATAACTACCATTCTAATATTCATAGCCCTCCACTGAACACAGTGTTCCTATTTAGCAATGACAGATGGTATTTGTTACATCCAATTGAAAAGATAAATAGATTTCCTACAGTATATACATATGCATTTTTTTTAATTACAGCACATCATGGTAAAGGACATTCTAGGCAAAGAGTGAATGAGGTCCGTGAATCCTTTGTGAAGCTGGACAATCAACCAAACACTTCAGGAAAAGCTGTCTTCAAATTTTACAATCTTTGACCTGCTTCTTACTGCAAATCCTAAACAATCTTTATATCATACTGTAGGTATGTCCTGTATTACAAATTCAACAATTACATAAGTACAGTCCACACCTTAAACAATACCCACACATTAAAAAAGGCCATTCAAAATGTATTTTCATTCTAAATCTTAGCTCAAAATAGTATGTAATGTATATCCTGACACATTATCACTCACAATTGATTAGTGTTTCTCAGAGAAAAGTTAGCAACATTGCTGAATAAAACCTGGTTCTGTACTGAAAATATTATACCTGTTTTTTTAAACACATTATGGTATTGTCAACTTAATCACTTTTTTGCAGTTTCAGAATGCATATTTATTTTGCACTGTATTGTTTTTGTGGAATTAATTTTTTCTAATAATTGCAAATAATCTTTATGCAGTAGTTGCTTGCTGACTAATGCTAGGGCCGTGTGTCAAATGCATGCTGGGTAAGGTTCTGGGTCATTGCAACTCTCTTAGAAGAGAGCAGCTACTCAAAATGGATGGAATTATTGTTTACAATTTCTTTCTTCTCCTTAAAACACTGCAGAAAAAAACTTTAAATTCCTTCGTCCAGGCAGCATTCCTCATTCCCTCACCACAGCTGACTCACTCGTCTGCCCCTGAGACTGATGGGAGAGATGAAGAGGGAGTGCGTGTGTCCTCTGAAAAGAGTGCTGGCAGGCCATGTGCCTGAGCACCACTGAGAGAGGTACAGTCCTGCGGTACATGGGGGAGTTGTGACTCACCTCTCGAGCTCGCAGGCGCTCAGGCTCTGTGCACCATCGCTCGGGGGACTCTGGTGGTCACAGGTAGCTAATAGCACAACCCGGATTCAGCATAGCAATCTCTGTATTTCAGGGCTCGATATGCACTCGGAACAGGGACCTTGAATGGTTTAATCACTTAAACAATCTTGTTTACCTTTTTTTCGAGGTGTGTGCTGGAGCACTTACAAAGCTGCAGCCACACGCCTCACTTTGCTGTTAACACTCAGTATGAAAATCCTCTCCCGGCACCTCCGTCGCAATTCACTAAACTCTGAAACCCTCAACAGCTTTTTAGGTATCTGGATTCTGAAGATCATTACTACTGCTACAGACCCCCAGCCATGCTTTGATAGATATGGCAGGACACAAATCATGAACAGAGGGACCCCTGTTGAGGTCTGCTTGAGGTGGACCCAGGTAGTGCAGCAGTGAATGGCAATGCTCGGCTATGCCTACCTTTAAATAGATGCTAATCCTCCTTGTAGGGTTGGTTCATATCACAGTGCCACTTGTGCCTTTGCTACCTGACTGTTTTTGCACATTTTTAGAATTCCTATAAATTACTAACTCATTTAGTTTAATGCTTTAAATCTATGTCTGTAGAAAATAATAATAAAAACATTATGTCAAATAATACTGGAAACTTCCATTTAATAAATTAAATTATAGGAGTTTTTCAAATAAAACTGAAATATTTTTCCACACTGGAGAACATAATAATTGGATTGTTACAGGCAATTACTGATATTCATACTTTGAAGAACAATGCAGTGCTAATTTCATCTCTCAAAAGGAGCGATTCTTTGTTCCATATCACTTACAGAAATCAGAATACTGCCGTTATGAACGAATCACGCTACCATTGTTTTCAGTGTGTTCATTGAATTTTACTCCGTATTTCTGTCCAAAACATGATATACTGTACAGTTAATTTGGCTTAGTAACAGGTGAATGGAGTAGATATACACACAGAGAAAACTCAATGCTTCATACTTGGAGGGTATGTAATATTTTATGTGAAACTCATAAAGCTACGTGCTCATAATTAAATATGTCAAAAATATTCAGCATTTCTTTTCCATCTTGCAGTGATGCACATATCACCGAGTAAAATTTCCACTATAGACTAGACTTTAGTTCTTAAAGAGTCACTATCATAGAAATGTGGTTAATTTTGGAAATTGCAGTAATGCATTTCATTCATTTTTTTATTTCGTCTTTTAACATGTCTATTTTCTTGTCTCACGTGAGGAGCAAAGCCTTGTATTCATTCAGGCTGCCTGGAGTCTTTTTTTTAAAAGACGTCTCTTTTTAATTCCGTTCTCTTATTGATCTGTGTTCAACTGTGGTGAGCTCTTCATTATTACCGCTCTTTAACATCCAAAGAAAGATTTGTTTTGCAACAGTATTCCAATTATATCAGCGCATCTACCGGCTTGTGCTCATACCTTTGCACGATCGTTTTAGCAAAACGAAAACGACAGCGACCCTTTTCCTAAAGCGTCCGTATAAAATTCACGGACCCTTACAGTAATGCATGACATAATGGATCTGAAGTTCAAAAAGCCAGCAAGAAAAATATAGAAAACCGCCTGCCTAAAGCGTTTTCAGTATTAGGTTACATAGTATCGGTATTAGGAAGCTCAGTGTACAGTACGTGGAGTTAAAGCGTCGGGATTTCTAGAGTAAGGTTTGGGATCGTTGCGTCGCTAAATGCGCGTTTTTCATTCCTTCCAAAGGTTTAAGAAACACTGTCCCTGCGGATTTGCGCCTTTGCTCGGATTCAGAGGACGGGGGATCGCAGGAGCTGACAAACTCGAGTTGGAGATTGATGACATCACAGCTCCTGGAGCCCAGGCATCCCGGAGTGGAACTGGAACAGTGTTGCCGGTCTACTTCAGAGTTGGCCAAGCTTGCACACAAGCCTAACAAGCGGACTCAAATGTATCCGACTCCTTTTCAGTAAAACGTGGCTTTTGTGGATCTCGGAGGCGGTGGAAATGGGACTAATCTGGAATTCCCGGTAGCGGATTTCTTTTTTGATATTTGACTTAACTATCCGAAAGAAATGTCTGCGTCCTTGATCTGCCAGCATTCCTCGGGATATATCTGAACTGTTGTAACTTAAGAACAGAGGCGTTCAATCCAGCTGGTCTGGTAAGTAGGAAGAGAAAAGAGATGGCCTTTTTTATAAAATGTGTGTCTTTATCTTGCGTAGTTTTAAAGAAAACACGCACAGAAACAAATAAAAACAGATCAAATTGTTTTTGAAATGTTGTACTTATAGACCCAACAACAAATCTGTACTATTGCATTTTTGTTAGAAGTGCTGTTGTATGTGTATATGAAGACGAAAACTAAGCCAATGATTTTCATAGTAGATTATTTTTATTTTGGACAAAAAACACAAGTTAGCATAAATAAGTCAAAGGTATCCTTGTAGATTGGCGGTACAATGTAGGCTTGTGAGACAGCGCCATCTGTACCCACGATCGTTAAATTGTATAGATGTAAAAGGTTTTTGGGCAGACTACAATTTAAGTAAAAACAATAGTTTTTTTGAACAAACGGTTTCCGTTTTTTTTTCAATGGAGAACTACCATTAAAAGAGCTTTAAAGTTAAACAATAAAATAAAATTCCCTTTCCAAACGACACATAACACGTGTGCCAGAAATAAGTCTGTTTTGAACGGGCTACCCTAAAAGATAAGTATATCACAATTATATGTAGATATGGTACTTAAAAACAGAAGTAGAACTAAAATTGCACTACGGAGATCCATTCACGTTCTGTATATATATATATTTTTGTTAAAATTAATGCACATTAATAATTAAACAGTCCCCGAATTATATCTTTTTTTACGCTGACGTCTATTTAGTTATACATGCAGTGTAACGAACGGGATTCAAATTAAAACAGAGCAAGTTTATTATTATTATTTATAATAATAATAATAATAATAATAATAATAATAATAATCAAAGGAGTGTAAAGCATCATCTTTAATAATTATCTATTTATATGCTAGAGGAACTCCGAGCACACCGTACCTCCTAAAGAGGACCGTCCTCTAGTGTAAGGTTGTGAGTCGCGTAGTGTCCAGAGACGTCTGTGAGCAACCTTTTCCCCAGACGGATCTTAATTTAGTGGTGACCTCTGGTCTTCGCGCAGATCCCCAAAAGCTAACGAAACCTGTACTTTATTTATGCACACACACACACAAAATGCAGACACACGACCACACCTCCACGGAAACGAGATTTTTTGGTGCAGCTGGAGAGACTGAGCTCGGCTATCTCAAAATATCCGATACCCAATCTCGGCGGTGTTACTACAGCAGTGGTGGTAGACTCACTGTTGCTCCACGGTTGCGTGGGCTTACATCCCCGGAGTAGCAAAGCGGTTTGTACCCTTGCCCAAGGTAAAATCACGCAGATTGCTCCAGGAAACCCGAGCTGTGAACGCAGGCACTCCCCGGTCCCCAAGTGAGGATTGGTTCTGGTTAAATCAAGATTCATTGTAGAGATGACGGTGTCCCACATATACCCCAAGGACAGTACTGTTTGCAAATAAAGAATACTAAGTAGCATGAGGCCGAAAGCAAACAGTTACTGCAATTAATTCCGTCCCCTTAAAAATAGTTCAGTGTAAACTGCAGGTCTTTTGATAAATAAAGGGCATCCTGAAAAGGTGTAGGTCAAGGAAAACGAGAAATTCAAAATACTTGACATGTTTTCCTAATTATGACACTAAGGCTGTGGCACATCATGTCCACCACCAAGGCTGTTAGTACTGCCTGTTAACCGCTGATTTTTACCGTTTGTTTTGGCATGACACGTTACACGGCGAAAGCAGTTTGTACTAAACGGTTCGATACCGTGCAGTTTCTAATACCGCACATCATACTGTGACGAGCACACCGTGTCCGACACCACTTGCTAGTTGCCTTTACCTGCGCTGCTGCGTTTTTAATTTACTGCATTTTTATTTTGACTATCCGGCGGTAAGCGACAAAGCACAGTCACCCTTATACAGTAATGATGAAACAGCAGTCTTTAACGATGGGCTCCACATTTCTCCCAGTTTAACAAGTACAGGGGGGAAAAAAGTATTTCAGCTTTGCTGTTGTTAGGAAATACAAAATCCGCCGACACGCGACATCAAGCGCCGGGACTGGTGCTTGAGCGGCGTTTACATCAATAACGCACAGAAACCACTAGTTGAAAATAATATGACTCCTCTCAAGCGGCGGCGGGCCGGGAACATCAAAGGGAGCACGCTTCTTTCAAAGCTGGAAAAATGAAGCGCAAGGGCTCGTTTAATCTTCATGCCAGGCGTAAGTAGATCCGGGCGGCGCACCGCGCGGAACGATACCAGGCGGGCTTGCGGCTGCGGGAGCGGGGTGCGCGCAGAGTGACCATGCTGGATTCGGGACCCTATAAACTGCAGGATTGTCTCCCCGACCGGAGAAGTTAATGAGGAAGAAAAAAAAAAGGTCTGTTGTTTCCCGATTTAACGGGCTGGGTTTTGTTTTCTTTTTTTTTTTTGTAGTCTTTCGGGTTATTTTTCAAAAGTTTTAGTCTTTGCCTAGGGGGGGGAGGAGGCGCTTTGTAATTGCTGGGAGAACTAGGCAGGACTGTGCTTTGTAGTTCTTTCCCCCTTTACCGAGAGCGTGTGCGATACACGGTAATCGCACGGTTTAAAGTTGGGGAAAAAAGTTGAAGCGGAGGTTTGTTTTTTTTGATGTTGAAGACTTCAAAGCGTCCCGAAGCACGACTGTTCAGATTTAGTTCTTTTGTTGTTTTTTTTTCCTTAAGAATGTCTTTGAACAATGTATACATCTGGTATACTCATGGCAGCAGTGTCTACGTGAACTGAATAGAGATGGACCCAAGTCGGGGGGATGGGGGGAAGATTAAAATTAACCCAAAAAAGAAAACCTCACCGAATTTGCGTCTTTCTATCAGTGCCATATGTGGAGCTCATAAAGTATAGATGCAAACGGGCGAAAACCCTAGCCTTTTTAATAAGATACTGCGTGTAATATTTGCCATATAACTCTCCCTTATGCACATTTCGAATTATTTGATAAGCAACTGTTTCTTTCTATGAAAACAGCACAGAATTCTCTTCAGCGTTAAAAGTTTAATTAACATTTAATTATCTTCCACGCTCTGTGAATGAGGCGTTTAAATCCCACCGTAACAACTGCCCCCATTCTACTGGAAGACGGTTCTGAAATACTTAGTCTGCCACTATGTGCAAGTTGGATGGATTTCTTCAGAGAGAGTTTGTCCTGTCATCAAACATAAGGTGTGGTGTTTCTTCATTTTGTGCCCTGTAGGTATGAAATACCTCTTTACATAGTAACACTCTCAGCTCTGCTCTGCCTGATGCGTTTTGGTTACAACATTGCCAGGGGACAGACGGATTCCAGTCGTAAGGCTCCAATGGGTTGTTGAATGCATTGTTTTAAGATTTCGCGGACCTCTAAACGTGACAGATGGGATGTTTAAAGAAAGACGTAAGCTAGTTTTGCTGAAGTTTTTGTTAGTGAATTAAACTGAAAGTAACCGGATGTTGATTCTTGGGATCCTCACTGTAATCCGATCACGAATAAAGAACTACAAATAAAAATCTTCTGTGTGCTGGTGAAACTCTCAAAACTTCGTTTTAGTTGCATTCTTTCGTGGTGCAAAATGGCTTTTATGCTTTTCGTTTGTTTTGTGGTGTACTTAATTGCATTTTAATAGAAGACTATATTATTCATTCGCAATGTATTTTAATGTCGCGATTTAGAGTGTGTTGTTCAGCCCTTGACTGTATAGTGGTGGTGGTGGAGGGGATCCCCATTACCTGTAAAGCGCTTTGAGTGGAGTGTCCAGAAAAGCGCTATATAAGTGAGAGCAATTATTATTATTATAGAGCACGACAGTAAAAAAGAAATACCTACTAATTGTAGGATATACGAGATGCGATTGACTTTAGAGAATATCGAAAACCGTGTTAAGGAGATCCACAGACAGCTATTTCATTTCAGCAATGATCTGTGCATTTTGAATGTTGATAATTACAGCAAATACTCCCCCTAATAACTTACTGGGGTTAAAACATGTGAAGAAACATTGCAGATTAAATCATTGGAGGATACCCTCGTCTAAGACATTTTTGTATTAGGCCTATGCAATAAAATAAAGATAACTAAAAACATTGCAATGTTGCTACAACTACAGTTAGACTGAAGGTTACATTACTATTGAGAAACTTAAATTCTACCAACTTGCACCCACTCCCTAAAAAACAAGTTGCCGATCATAGCCAATAGGCTATTTTCCTAGTGTAGCACAGATCAAAGAATCTGCTTAAGAGGTGTTATTTAAGAGCCTGATAAAAACAGTTTAAAAAAAATCAAGTCTTTGAAGTGTCTTGTGTTTGACTTACCGTTGAATGATGAGTGATTGCTTACAAATAAGCAAATCAAAATCACGGTCTGTTTAGGTGTAGAGTTTGAAAGTTTTTTTCTTGATGCGAAAGAGGCAGTTTCCCAGTTGAAATCAGTTGACCAGTCATTGCTTGGTCAGGCTGGGTAGCCTGCAGACTGTGGATGCCACACTTCAGTGGTAGATGCTCTTGTGTTGTAATTTCTGAAAAACATTCTATTAGCTGCAAGTGATTGAGTCCTCATTTTCATTACTTATATGAGTACCGATATTGAAAATGTAGAGAAATCTGGAGCATTATTAGTAAAACGTGTATGGGTTGGAATAAATAATCGCTTTTTCATAGAACGTCTTTCCATCCCCCGTTTACTACAGCCTTCATTAATCAACCTGACTATCACTTGTCACAAGTTTAAATGAGTGCACCGAAGCTCCCCGTAAAATCAAGGGTAAATCAAGCTGCTGTAGCGTAGCGCTCTTATTTAAAGAATCGGACTCCAGAGAGTGGGCAAACTGGGCAAGGGGAAAAATGTTTGGGATGCTTTTTTTCCCCTCCGCGACAGGAGAAACGGCAGGAGCTTGTCCGACAAAAAAAAAAAAAACATGTTGAATTAGAATTAAAAGGAAGAATACATTCATAAGACCCGTGCTTGTGTTCATTCTAAGAGCTGGAGCCAGCCTGATCCCAGCTCTTCCTTAACATGGTTGCGCATCTCCTTTGTCGTTGCACAGGTTGCCATGCAGAATTACAATTTTCTTCCTCTCCTTGCTTTTCAGGAGGTCTGGTGAAGATTGAATCGTGCCATCATGGGGAAGCACTTAACTCCGCTGCTTTTAACAATACTGCTGCAGCACCTTTGCTGTTGCACGGGGAACCAAAGGATAGAGCCGACACCGCCCTTGCAGTTTACACACGCGGTGTATAATGCCACTATATACGAGAACTCCGCAGCAAAGACCTACTTAGAAAGCCAAGTCAAAATGGGAATATACATAAAAAGGCCGTCTTGGGAAATCAGGTACAAAATAATGTCAGGAGATAATGAAAATTTGTTTAAAGCGGAAGAATACTTCCTGGGAGATTTCTGTTTCTTGCGGATAAGGACCAAAGGAGGCAGTACTGCTATTCTTAACAGGGAAGTAAGAGACCATTACGCGCTTACAGTCAAAGCGTCCGAAAGAAGCACCGGTGCTGAAACACGCACCAGGGTGGACGTGCAAGTTCTTGATACAAACGACCTGAGGCCCCTGTTTTCACCCACCTCCTACAGCGTCTCCCTGCCTGAAAACACGGCCCTCAGAACCAGTATTTCCCGCGTCATGGCCACGGACGCGGACATCGGGACGAACGGGGAGTACTACTTCAGCTTCAGGGACCGGACGGACATGTTCGCCATCCACCCCACCAGCGGCGTGGTGACGCTGACCGGCAAGCTGGACTACTCGGAGGCCAGGCTGTACGAGATGGAGATCCTGGCGGTGGACCGGGGGATGAAGCTGTACGGCAGCAGCGGCGTCAGCAGCATGGCTAGGCTGACGGTGCGTGTGGAACAGGCCAACGAGCACGCGCCCGTCATCACCGCCGTCGCCCTGGCTCCCTCGGGCTCCGACAGGGATCCCACGTACGCGGTCGTCACGGTGGAAGATGGTGACCAGGGACCCAACGGGGAAATAGCCTCGCTAAGTATCGTGGCGGGAGACCCGCTGCAGCAGTTTAAAGCCCTGAGGTCCAGCCCCGGCAGTAAGGAATATAAAATAAAAGCCGTCAGAGAAGTGGATTGGGAGAGCCGGCCTTTTGGATATAATCTAACTCTGCAGGCCAAGGATAAAGGAAGCCCACCTCAGTTTTCCTCTGTGAAAGTAGTTCATCTCGCCTCGCCGCAGTTCAAAGCAGGGCCTCCTACATTTGAACGGGCCATTTACAGGGTAAATCTTAGTGAATTCGCTCCTGTTCACACCCCCGTTGTGATGGTAACGGCCGTGCCAGAGCACCCCCAGTTGAGGTATGCTTTGAAAACCAACGTGCACAGACATCTGTTTGCCATAAACCCAAACACGGGCTTAATAACAACGGCTGGTCCAATCCGAGCAGAACTGACTCCCCAGTTTGAACTGGAAGTTATGACCAGCGATAGAAAGGCAGCGACCAAAGTTGTTATTGATGTCTTAGATATGAATAACAATGCCCCCGAGTTTCTCCAGACATCTTACAAAGCCAGCGTGGATGAACATGTGCCAGTGGGTACCAGTGTATTAAGAGTGAGGGCCACTGACCTGGATAGTGGAGAAAATGGTTATGTGACGTACAGCATTGCCAATTTGAACCCCCGGCCTTTTGCGATTGATTACTTTACCGGTGTAATTAGCACCTCTGAAGATTTAGATTACGAGTTGATGCCCAGGGTTTACAATTTGAAAATTCGCGCTTCGGACTGGGGCTTCCCTTATCGGCGCGAAGCTGAGGTTCCCGTAACAATCACTTTAAACAACTTGAACGACAACAAGCCGCTGTTTGAGAACGTAGACTGCGAAGTGACCGTCCCGAGAGACCTTGGGGTCGGCGAGCAGATAACTACCCTGTCTGCCATCGACGCTGATGAGCTGCAGCTCGTGCGGTATGAAATAAAGGCCGGTAATGACCTCGACCTGTTCGAGTTAAACCCGAACTCTGGCGTGCTTTCTCTGAAGCAGTCTTTAGTCGATGGGGAAGGGGCGAAAGTCTCTTTTCTCAGTTTACATATTACAGCTAACGACGGGGAGAACATGACGCCGCCCATGATCATGAATATCACTATGGTAACTAGTCGGAAGCCGGTTCATTTAAAGTGTGTTGACACTGGAGTCGCCAAAATGCTGGCAGAGAAACTCCTGCAAGGCACAAAGATTCACAACCACGTGGAACCTGACGAAAACTTCTTGGACGTTCACTCGGTTAACCGCTTTGCCCCACAGTTTGCGGACACGTTCCCAAATGTCATAGAAGCTAAGGAGGATCTCCCAGTGGGCGCCAGGATTCTTCATATAAGTGCCACAGATGCCGATACTGGTTTCAATGGAAAGCTGGTTTATGCAATTTCAGGAGGAGATAGTGACAGCCGATTTATCATCGAAATGGAAACTGGTTGGCTTATGGTGTATGCTCCACTTGACAGAGAAACAGCCAATCACTACACTCTTAATGTCACGGTCTATGACCTTGGAATACCTCAGAAGTCTTCGTGGCGTCTTTTAGATGTGACTATCCTGGATTCAAATGATAACAGCCCCAGGTTTTTGCAAGATAGTTATTCTGTAGAAATTAGTGAAAACACGGAGGTGGGAAGTGACATCATTCAGGTGGAAGCAACAGACAGAGACTTAGGCCTCAATGGGGAAGTCAGATACTCCCTTGTTGGAGACACGGACAAGTTTGAGATCAATGAGCAGACGGGTATCGTGAAGGTTAAAGGCCATCTGGATCGTGAAGCGCGCTCCGTTTATCTTTTGAAGATTGCAGCCAGGGACCAGGCCGCTGAAGAGCCTCAGCTGCTGTCAACAGTCTTGCTGAAAGTAACACTGGAAGATGTCAACGATAACCCACCCAGGTTTGTTCCTTCAAACTATCGTGTGAAAGTTCGGGAAGACCTGCCAGTCGGCACCGTCATAATGTGGCTAGAGGCCCATGATCCGGACTTGGGGCAGGCAAGCCAAGTGCGTTACAGCCTGATTGACAGCGGGGATGGAAACTTCGATGTGGACAAACTGAGTGGAGCGGTGCGGATTGTGCAAAACCTAGATTACGAGAAGAGGCAGTTTTACAACCTCACAGCAAGGGCCAAAGACAAGGGGAAGCCGGTTTCGTTGTCCTCGACTTGCTACGTGGAAGTGGAGATTGTTGACGTCAATGAGAATTTGCATCGCCCTTCGTTCTCTTCCTTTGTGGATAAAGGATCTGTAAAAGAAGATGCGCCGGTTGGTACGTCTGTGATGCAAGTGACTGCGCGAGACGACGATAAAGGCAGAGATGGGACAGTGCGCTACTCCATACGAGATGGCTCGGGCATAGGGATATTCAAGATCGACGAAGAGACGGGTAAGATGTGCTTCATGATTTATTTCTTTAATTTTTCTTTTTTGGAATTTAAATTGGCGGCGACAGGTTGACAACTTTTCAAGGTGAATTTTAAGGCTCAAAATGAAGGTCTGGTCAGAAATAGAAAATGGGTCAAAAATGGAAACATCGGCTCATGGCAGTGACCATTTTATATGTGAAGTGTTTCTGCCTGTGAAATGGGAAAAACAGTATTTGCACAGAGTGGCCAGGTGGGTCTATGTGCTTGGGTGTGTCTCTGTGGATTAGCCTCCTCTTTTTGGAGAATGGTGTCTTGGAGTGAGTGGAGATAACTCCAGAGAAATCTACAGGGGTGTTTACTTTCTGTACTTTATTTGGTGTCAGTTTTCACGAGTAAACAAAAGCATTTTTAACTTCCAAGAGGTGCATTGTTTTTTTTTAAATAGAGGGGTTCAAGTCAGATTTAAAGTAAACTTTAGGCAGGGTTCTCATTTCCTGGGCCTTGGTCTGTTTAACTAAGTTGTTTAATCTATAACTTTTATTAGCTTTTGAAAAGAAAAAAAAGCTTGCCTGAAAGTTTCAATTATGGTTGTGTGTTTTATGTTTATTGCAGCATTGTGTTAGTCATCAATGAATTGATAAGTTTCAATGACTCAGGTTTTTGACTAAATATAAAATAGCAAGCACTGTCTTCATAGTGACTTAGAGTTATACTATGTATTTAAATCTCTCATCAAAGGAAAGTGATGGCAGGAATTAATATATTTGGAAATTATTTTGCTTTAAGCCGCGATACTTTTAGGTTAAAAATGATTTTCATAGAAATGCATTAATTTACACAAACATTAAGCTGTGGCTCACAAATGAATTCCAGGAGCCGACTTTCATGATTCCCTGGTGAGAATTTCAAAATTTTTATCTGGTTGTTCTAATGAAACCATTGTGAATACAAATTAGATCAGTCTTTAACTTCTGACTGACTATAATAACAGGGAAGTTACCTCCATCCTATAATTTATCTGTTTAAATATATAGCTTATCAGCTCACACTTAATTGCATGAAATGAGAGGAAGTATATTGGTATTGCTTATGTACGCAATTACACAATGGCAGGGCAGAGAAAGAGAAGAAGCCTGGATTAGGTTTTTATTTGACTTGGCTTCACTGCGGATCCAGACTGAAACTCAAGATTAATCAGGTGTTCATACTCGCCTTTGGATTGGCATAGTTTTACTTCATGGAGATCTGGGGTTCTGTCTGTATCATTTGGTTTTGAAGAAAAACGAGTAATTGTTTACAATAAATGATGTTTGACTGCATGTGTTAGAGTTGACAGCAGTTCCTAACCACAGTTGATAACTCTTTGACGTGGTTCCTGTCCAGCTTGTCCTTTATTGGGGTGGCTATATGTTGTGAGCTTTGGTTCAGTCTACCATTAGGTTTATAATCTGAAATGTATGATATTATATTTTTATTTGGGTGATGCTTTGATCCAAAGAGACTAAGAATTGCAACCATTTGTGTACCCAGGTATATGGTAAGTTCAGTAAGTTCCGAACATACAGTATTTCAAGCCAAGGTATACTTTATTTCAATGAATGAATACATTTTCTAAAATACATTCAAGCCAGACCCTGTCTTTCTTTAAAATTTTTGTAGCGCATATAGGGGACCATTTTTGTTCAGTATAGATATTGAAACGCGTCCAACGCAGCCAACTGAAGAGGACAATTAGAAGAAATTTGAAACTGTTATGGAAGAAGTGGATTTATTAACAGCTTCTCAATTAACAACAAAGTGCGCTTTGATTGTAGTATTCTGAGACGCTATGAAGCCTACAGCTTCCTCCCTGTTTCTTTCAGAAGTAAATTAATGGCTTTAGCAAGAGGGACAGCCGTCTCTTGGACCTGCATGTGAAATTCCAAACCAGCAATCTTGGAATTGAAATAAAGGGCTGTGGAGACTGTCTGAAAGTGAATGATAATTCTTCATGCCACACATTAGTCTCTCTTCAAAATATATGCGGATCGTACCACACAGGCTGCGTCTTCCTCGAGCCTGGAGGTGGTCGTGTTGTAAATATAACTGCTGCACAAGCACTGGACTGTTGAAGAAGTGTTTCCTGCAAATGTGTAGATATCCAAAACATTTGCTGCTTGTGCATACAAAGACGTCTCGACCTCAGGCGTGGGGGAAGGAGTTGACAAATGTGCTTACGCCATTGATCACTGGTTTTCTTTTTTTTCATTCAAAAGCAAAAGAGCGTTTGGGATTCTGTGTTTTCTGCGTGCAGCATTCAGACTCAGACCCTGGGCTGTTGGTTCTGTGTTGTGTGCGCAGAAATCCTTTGTAAGCCCAGGGTTTTGCACTTGTTCCATTGTGTAGGATTTAGCAATACTGAGCATAAATTGTTAATTAATTAATAGACGTTGCTAAACCTCAGCATCATTAGATGTGTGTGCAGATGTAATGAGAATTTTCCCTGTCATTTTAAGATCCCATGGCAGGGAGACTTTGGGGAGCAAAAGGGGAAAAAACAAGAAGTTTCCACATGCTGAGTGGAGGTCTTAACTGCAGGAGAAGTGGGCTGTTGGGTTAGCATTGCAGCATTGCGTCGTGTTCTCTGTGTCTACCAGCTCCTCGCTCAGCAGAGAAAGAGCTGCAGAATCTTGGCTGGAGCTGTTAAAAAGCCATATGGGTGAGGGGGGGTATTTTGAAGAGAATCTGAAAAATCATGTTGCAGCAGAGCAGAACTGACAGTGGCAGGTGTTTCGCAGACACTGTTCTCATGAGATGGGAAGATCCTGATAATTCCCAGCAAGGCCATTATCCCTGAACAATTAATACATTTCCCAAGTTTTGCAGGTTAATTGTTACCGCTGGTGTAAGTTAATGTTTAGTGAAAGAAGGAATAAGTCAGGTTTCTTTTAACTACTTCATCCTGAAACATGCATTCTATAATGTTTCCAGTACCTTTGAAATAACCAGTCTTCAGGATTTTTTTTTATTTTTAGTGTTGTGCACTGGTTTGACTATTTAAAGTTGTCAGCATCTTAATCCATACTCCCAGATTTTAAGACTGTTGGATGGATCTAAAGTCAAAGCAGTGAAGGAGTCTTGTCTATAACTGTTAAGCATGTATTTAAGAATTTGTTTGCTGTCAAAACAGTTTAAACAGCTATTTTCATGGCAGTTTAGGTGACATTTTTTGACATAAGGAGTGAAGCTTTGTACCTGTTTTAAAAATCAGTGGAACAATTGGCTTCTCCCAGTCTGTTGTGGTTGAAGCCCCTGGGACATCACCACTCTGTATGGTTTGCACTTTCAGCTGTTGAGAATGATTTAAACACCTGTGTGCTGAAAGACTAAAATAAATAGACTGGAATCTAAATTTCTGTTGTCACAGAAAGCTTGTGGCATTCCGTCTGGTCCAAGTGAGAAAATAACACTTTTTGGGGTCTAAATACTCTCACAAGAGCTAATCTGAGAGAGGTGTTTTTAAAAATATTTCTACGCTTTTCTCTGACACAAATCACACAATTCATGCTTCTGATGCAGGCAGAAAAGTTTACAGTATAGATGAAGTAAAAATAGGTTTCATTTGACCCTAAACTCTTGTTCAGGCATATTTCCAGGAAGCCAATCCAAAAACATTTTATTATTAACGGGACCCTATAATTTTGTCTGTAGAACAGGATGTCAGAGCCAAGTAGAGTTTAATTCCCTGCTGAAAAGCAAAAACTAAAGAAGAAAAATACTAGGATATGTACTGGGTTGCAATAACATAATAAAAATGTCTGACTATGGATGATTTCTAAATACCATTTAAAGGAAAGTGCACTGTCATTTATGCTCGTAAAATAAGCCGCAGAGTTAAAACACGGACGTGTTGGGATTTATCAAAAGGCGTTCTGAATTTAATGCGACAACATAAGAACACATGTAACAATCTGCCTTCTGAGCCATCTGTCGGCCGTTATCTCGGCCCTGATCTATAGTGATTGTGCTGCTGGTTTATTAGAGGGCTTGCAGGATACTGATTTTCTTTTGTTTAAGGCCTCTCGGTGCAAACAAATGGAGCTCAGCAGGTTGTCTGGGAGCTGACCATGCCTAATCTGTAGGGTTCTTCACTCACCTTGTAATAGTTCTCGGGTGTCGTATTTTAAACATTAAGCTGTGGTGTTTTTATTATTCCCAGTTTTCAGTTGGGAGTCTAAAGGACTGGTGGCGTTCTCAAAGTGAGTAGTGGTTCTTGAAAGTTCTGAAGCGGATGGGACACAGATTCTGGGCTTGAAGAGTGGAGGTGACATTGACAGCCTTTCATGGGGTCAAACCTTTGCCGTGAGTCAGGTTGGCTGAGGCTGCATTGCAGAGCAGAAGTGGTGTCTCTGCGACCATCTGCGTAGCGAGGGGACCGCGTCTTTTCATTTCCCCGCAGGTGTGCCGTTCAGGAGGCTCTGAGGCTTGTGAAGCAAATGAAAGGGAGGTGATGAGGAATGTACACAGAAGTCCCAGCCCCCACTTTACCCAGTAACTCCTTCCGACTGACAGGATGGGATTGACCTGTTCAGGGCTGCATTGTGTGGGACACAGCCGGGGTCTGTGCTAATCTCCACACGCCCGGGGCCCGCCTCTCCCTGGGGAGTTTCAAGAAGTGGGGAGCGAGGCTCACCCACATGTGGCTGCAAGACCACCTCCCAGCATGAAATCGATGTGAAAAAGAGAGCGCGCACCCAGAACCTGCTCTGGTTTAGAAATTGCTAGCAAGGCAAAAAAATAAGTAGTGGTTCTGAGTGCCAGATACCACAGCACCTCCGTTTCCGTACAGCCCGATGGGGAGGTACTGAGAGAAGGCTTCGCACATCTGCGGAGGTCTGGGTTTTACTGCAGGCAGCAGCTGCTGCATTGGTTTGCAGACTAAAGGACAAGAAAGCAGAGATGTAACGAATGTGGAAATTCGAAGATATTTACTGCTCACTTTGAGGGCTGATTTTCTTCCTGTTTGGGAAACGTTTTTCCA